CACACACACACACACACACACACACACCCCTCAGCTCAGCCCCCCGTGGTGTCCCCAGCACCCGCCGCCCACCCGGCCCAGGGGTCACATCCCACCTGAGCCCCCCCACCCTCCCCTCGGGGTGCTGGCCCCATGGCACAGCCTGGTGTGGCACAGCGTGGTGACCCCACGAGTGACGCTGCCAGCAGGGGCTGCCCCGGAGCCATCTGGCCCAGCTCTTATCCCCGGGCAGCCAAGATTAATTCCTGGCTACAACAAGGGGGGAAATAAAACCGCAAACGAACAACAAAACAAACCACAAAAAGGAACACAAAAAAACCACAAACCCACAATAAACAAAAGCCAAGACTCAGGAGGCTGGAGAACCGGGGAGGGACAGGGAGGGAATGGGGGAAGGAGGAGGATGAAGGGGAAAGAGGAAAGGGAAGGAGAAAGGGGAAGGGAAGAGGGAAGTAAAAGGGGAAGGAGAAGCAAAAGGGGAAGGGAAAAGGGGAAGAGAAAATGGAAAAGGGGAAATACACAAGGAAAAGGACACAGGTGCAACTCCAGCTCCTTCAGCCCAGGAAGCCCCACTTCACTGTTCTGCTCTGCCAGGGATGAAGCACCGGGAGTGGCCGAACCCGGGGACCCACCCGGGTGGGTGACAGGGCTGGGGGCAGCCACGAGTGCCACCCCCGACATGGGAAACACGGTGGGGTCGGCTTGGCTCTGCCCCGGGGCTCCCTGGGCATGTCCCAGGAGCTGGGGACACTTTTGGAAGTGCCCTCGTGGGTGTGTGCCCGGGAGCTGTCCAAGATGCTAAGAAGGACGGTCCCAGGGGGGTTCCCTGTGGGAAGGAGCCCCCAGAAGCAGCTGCCAAGGCGGCCAGGATGTTTCCAGGGAGCCGTGTGCTGTGCCACTGGCATCCCATGCCCCTGGAACAAGGCCCTGAGCAAAGCAGCTCCGGCCCGGACCAGCACCGGGGTCAGCCTGAACCCCCAGCCCGCGGGGGAGCACAGGAGGGGGCTGCACTGACACCCCCCGAGGGAAGGCTCTGGTTGATGCCACATGGGCAGCGAACACCGCAGGCATTGAGGGCGAAAGTGGGATCTGTTGCTTCTCTTTAGAGCCAGCCAGGCAACAAGGCTGGTGCCTCCCACCAGCCCCGGGACAAAGCAGCTGTGGGAGCAGCAGGAACCTGCCCTCGGTCCTCCCTTCTGGCCTCCTGGGCTCCTCGGACGCCCGGGGGGATCCCTCCCCTCTGCCCAGCGCCCTCGGTGCGAGGCTGGGGAGGGCAGGAGGGAGAAACCAGGAGGGCAAATCGTCTCTGAGCAACCGTGGGGGGAGGAAACCTGGCAGGGAGAGACCCCCAAGGGGCAGGCGTGGTGGGGGGGGGGGGGCCAAAGGGGGGGGGCAG